TTACTGAAATCAAAGATTTTGGGGTAATCTTTGACAGCAGATTTGCTTTAAATTTTTCCGACCCCTACACGTTAAAATTACTGTATACATGCTTTGTTCGGCCCATTTTGGAGTATGAAGTGTTCATCTGGAGACCATATTGCATATCGTCAATTAATAGGATCGAGCGTGTCCGAAAGATTTTTCTTAAATTTACTCTTCGCTCTCTAAAGTTTGTTGACCCAATACCATCGCATACATCCATTTATTGCTTTTACATCTTAAACTCCTGGAAAAGCGTCGGTCCGTTCTCTGCCTTTCATCTGTTTTTAATTTTATTAATGAAGGTATTGCCTGTCCCTATTTATTAGGGAAAATTAACTTCAATGCTCCCCAACGTTTTCTCAGATCTATTTCCCCATTTTATTATATAAAGGAAAGTACTAACTTTGCTGAATATGCTCCGCTCAAGCGTGCTATGCGAGAGTTTAACTCGATCTCCGAAAAAGTTCTTCTTGATTTTTCTAACTCTAGGGTATCCTTCATTATTAACCTAAATTTTGTTTTTTAGATTAAGTTAATTTTTTATGTACTTTTAACTGCATTATTTTAGAATTCTATTTAGCATTCTAATTTTCTTAATTTTCCATTAGTCTGTAAGAATTAATGTTCGTAGTCTTAACTAAATAAATAAATTTAAGTATGATCTGGGCATTGGTGACGAGATCACCGTTGGGGGTTTTACAAGAGTATTGTCCGGTCTTCACACCTTTTTTAAGCCACCGCATTTTCTCGTATAATTTTCGACCATTACCCCTGTTACTCACGCATTTCGGCCTCTTCCTTTTTCTGTCTACAAATACGTTTCGCTTCCCTCTTCAACTCTCGGTATCTATCCCATCTTGCTCTCCGCTGCGACGCGGCACTCCTCGTCGTACCAGCTGTTCTTTTGTACTTTCCGAAAACCAATGGTTTTGATTGCAGCTGTACGTAAGGAGTTTGAAATGCCGTCCCACAGTTCCCTTATACCGAGTTGTTGACGAGTGCTCTCAAAGAGCAAGGAATGCGGTGGCAGCTCTCATAAGTGCGCTCCAAGCACTCATAAAAGGCATTTTTGGTCACATCGTCCTTCTCTTCCATCGGGGCGTGGTCGCAAATCAGCGAACCTCGCTTTGATGCGGATTGTGGCTAGATGTTCATTCACCGGGGTGAATGGTAGTACTCAGTGACGGAGTCTCCCTCACACCACAAATCGCACACCAAACTTGCGCTCCTTTATATGGTAACTGTAGTAAATGGAGCACTCTAGTAAATGCCACAAGGACCTACTCGTCTCTGTCCTTGTCCCGTCCATTGCATTTCTTGCACGGCGGTGATGTTAGCCTTTATTTTCACGAGGACATCAACCAGGTAGGCATCGGCCCTTTCTCAATTAAGGGTTCGGATATTCAAGGTGCATGCCGTCAAATTCGTTTGCCACAAGCGTCAACAAAAGGGGGGTCTCTCATCCAAGACTGTTGTTGATTTTTCATTGGAGGTGTTTTTTTACGTGGCGGGTCATAAACCCAGCGCACAACCCTTCCAACCAGGGCATGTTTCGCGTTCTCACTTTAGCTCGCCTTCAAACGGATGTTCTTAGCCTACCCAGAGGATATTTGGTCAAATACCGGAAGTCGTGAGCTGCTTGAGTCATATGTAAAAGAATCGTTTCTGGAAACTCTCAAGTAAATGGCGATCAGAGACTTTTCTCACTTGCGTGAACTTCTACGCATGACTCCATCCTAACTAAACATGACTCCATCTTCCACACCGGTGTTTAGACTATATGTTACAAATCATCCCGATGGAAAAGCGCATGGTGGCAAGGTAGTGTTGATTAGAAATCATTTAAACCACTATGCGCCAGAATTCTCATGCTACACCACAGTTACCAGCTACAACAATATCACTAAAAAATCGGGGTTGTGACTTAAACCTTTCGGCTAGATACTGTCCACCTCATTTAAAAATTACAGAAATCGAATTTAAAGACCTTTTGGAACACTAGATCAAAGATTGCTAGCAGGTGGAGATTAAAACGCAAAACACACGTACTGGGGCTCACGTCTTATTAACTCGAAAGGACGACAGCTGTAGCAAACTGTTATTAACAGGCACAATAACCTTGAAATAATATCTCTTGGTAAGCCGCTATATTGGCCTAGTGATCGTAAGATAATACCAGAATGAATTAATTTTTGCTGTAATCAAAAGTATAGATAAAACGCACATCTCAGCTGACACATGTACTGATGAATCTTCTGATCACTCTCCTGTAATAATAAAATTAGGTGAACAACCCATTTTCGTTAATCCAAAAGTGGGTCTAACTGCTTATAAAACGAATTAGAATATAAAAAACTACGTCAGTAGCCACATCATTAATGAGGACAAAATAAATGCAGAAAGAGATATTGACGAAAGCATAAGAGAAGTCAATGATATAATAACCATCGCAGCTGTCTTAGCAACACCAAACAAAAACTATTATCTCCTTGGTTTCAGAAAAATCTCTAATAGAGAAGCAGAAATGCTTGTAAGTGAAAAAAGGCGTAAAAGACGTGAATGGCAGATAAATCGTTCCACTCAGCTTCACTTAAAATATGCAATGCGAACGCAGATTATGGCAACACTTCCCCCGGAACGCTGCAATTTCGCTCTACCTTTCACTACAACAGGTGTTGATTTTGCTGGGCCTTTCCAGGTAAAGGCGTTTATGTTAAGGTCTCCCACTCTCATGAAAGGCTATGTGGCTGTCTTTGTATGTTTCACGACAAAGGCAATACACCTTGAGCTATGTAGTAACCTGACGACGGAGGCTTTTCTCGCGGCATTTGCTCGCTTCGTCGCTCGACGTGGCTACCCATCTAAAGTCATGAGTGATAATGGCAAAANGACGTGGCTACCCATCTAAAGTCATGAGTGATAATGGCAAAATTTTCATTGGAGCTCAACGAGAAAACAGAAAGAAATTTGTGGATTTCTTAAAACAAGTGTCACCCGACATCGTACAAAAATACGCCCCTCAAGGTATCAATTGACAATTTATACCCCCAAGCGCTCCTCATATGGGCGGTTTATGGGAATCAGCTGTAAAAAGCTTCAAATCCCATTTCAAGTGGGTAGCTGGAAATTATGAGTTCAATTACGAAGAGTTCACGACGTTATTAAATCGAATGGAAGCCGTTCTCAACTCACGGCCACTCACGGTACTCTCGCAAGACNTTCAATTACGAAGAGTTCACGACGTTATTAAATCGAATGGAAGCCGTTCTCAACTCACGGCCACTCACGGTACTCTCGCAAGACCCCTCAGATTTCACTGCCTTAACTCCAGGGCATTTTCTAAAAGGAGCACCCATCCTGGCCATTCCTGAGTCAGGCGTGGAGTCGCTATTCCTATTAAATCAATGGGAACGAACTAAAATTCTCCATTGTGATTTCAGCCGCCAACGGAAGGACGAATACATAAAGAATCTCCACAAAAGATACCGCTGGAAGACTGCTGAGCAAGCACCTAAATTTGGAGACTGTGTCCTCATTCATGATGATAGTTAACCACACCGCTCGTGAAGCTGTGCTTTCTACCAATCACCGACGACCGCGACTCCGAAAACCGAAAAAACCAAACCGCGATATAATAAAAGCACTAAATTGAACACTAAAACCAAAAATAAATCCGTAACAACCGTTCGAATTAACACGCCCTATCAAAGAATCAAGAATATTTACAAATAATTGTCGATCAATATGACGACACAATCATGCCACATATAGTGGCACGATTGCCCATATCAATTTATATCACAGACATATATAATTAACAATCTTCTCTACACAGATCACCATGGATGTAGATACACCAGTCGCAACCCCGCTCGCGCTACCAATGCACCAAGCACCGGGCCTACACCAGCGCCACGAACTGTGGTTGCATCAACGCTGGCAACTGCACCGGCAACAACGGCGACACCTGTACCGGCAACCGCGCCTGCACCCTCACCTCGTGGTGGCATCCGACTACTATCGACCACATCGAGGACTTCGGAGACCCGTCGGATAAGGTGCCCCATCTGTCGACGCCCTCATCGTCTTCATCATTGTCGAGTTTTTAGGGCGATGCGGCCTTTGCAACGGCAGCAAGTTTCGCAGGCCCACGGGCATTGCCTTAACTGCCTGTCGCACACTCATGCTACTACAGAGAGTGAGTGACGGGAGCTGTGCCAAATGTGTCACCGGCCGCATCATGCGCTGCTACATCGTAGCTCGTTACGCGAAGCGCACCAGCCACCCAACCATCGCGGCCGCGTCTCCCGGCTTCACCCGCCGATAGTGTCATACACCAGCGGAGTATAACCTCGTTGCGTCGTCGACAGACTGGACCACCCCCTCGTCTATCCACGGGTCTCAGCAGCGTTGTGGCAACGTTGCAACAGCTGCTGCGCCTTTTAGGCTAAACAATCGTTTAGGGGGGCCGGGAGGGCTAAATGATCACCTGACCCCCCTCTTAATATAATACTCCTACATCCCACACATAGACACCATACTCAACACGACTACACCATCCATATCATCCACACATCATACTCCAAACATCTACACCATATTCATCATCCACACCACACACGAGGACACCAAACACAATCAACAAAAGGGACTGGCGGACGGTGCCCAACTCGCTTTTTCATTCGATCCGTGCGAATATACATTTCGCCAGTCAGCTATAAGTTTTTTGCCGCTTCTTAACTAAATGCAACGGTGTTTTTTTTATATAAAATTTTTCTAGCATTCGCTGTAGACGACTGAGTTGTCAACCATTACAACAAATCGTAGCTGATAGGCCTCCAAGTCGCGTCACTTCAACCAGATGTTCGTTACATAGTGCAGCAGATTACGCTGGCCCTTACGCCGTGAAGTTACGCATGAAAGAGGTGCAAAATCTACAAAGGCATACATATGCTCATTTACATGCATGAGTACTGATGCAATGTATCTCGAACTTGCTGGAGACCTTTCGTCAATTGCACTGTCAGCAATCTGGCAACGGCACTTTTGCTGAAAAGGAATTACGATTAGCCTATGAACGCTGCATTCGCGATGAAAGCGTGTCATCATACTTCGTAAACGCCCAAATATTTTGGCATTTCAATCCTCCAAACGCCCCTTACATGGGTGGCTTCTGGGAAGCTGGTATAAAACGTATCAAATATCATCTTAAACGGGCCTTAGATACTTCGCTTCTAACTTATGAAGAATTTGCAAGAGTACTGACTGAAGTTGAGGCATATGTAAACTCGCGTCCTATTTGCTTTATTCCTACAAATGTAAATGATTTCGAAGTCCTCACTACTGGACACTTCATGATTGGCGAACCGATAAAGGGGCTTCCCGACCCTGACGTTGAGGTGTTCAAGGGAATTATATTTCAACGTTGGCAAGTCATTGTGTCAATTAGACAACACTTCTGGAATCGATGGCGAGACGAGTATCTTGTAAGTCTTCAACGTCGTTCGAAATGGATACGTTCAACGCCGAATTTGCAGAAAGATGATATCGTTATCATTACATGAAGGCTCCCTTCAGGCATAGTTCTTTGAAGCTTAAGGTCTTACTTCTTTTAATAGCCTTTTTGAGCTCATTTCGCTTTCTTTTAAAATATTCTCGCAGTCTTGTGTGTTCTAGCGTACCGAAGCTTTTTTGGAAGCGGCGTATCGCTTTGTGACACTCGCTTCTTAGTGCGCTAATCTCCTCGATCCACCAGTAAGCGGATCTTCGGGATGTGTTTTGCCCTTTTTTTACACATGGCCGCGACGCAAGCCCTACTTACATGATTTACTAGCATTTCAGCTTGTCGGTCTAAGTCGGTCGAGCTACCTATTTTTCCACCCAGCATGAGGTCGAAGATGTTCTCATCTAGCCTTTCCACCTTCCATCCTTTTTTCTGTATCTTGTTTACACCGCCTTGTGATCGCTATGTATGTAGAAGTCGCACACTTTCCAACATGCAGATCGAGCCAGTGAGTTGAGGGCGAACGTAACATCTATAATAGATCCGCGGCCATTCTTCTCGAAGGTATTTCTACCTCCCGTATTAAGCAACACAGCTTCAAGTAATTCGAAAGTTTTCAGCAGAGCATTACCCCGTCCATTTGTCTTGCTACTACCCAATTCGATTGCCCACGCGTTAAAGTCGCCTGCTATCACATTTGGTGTAGTATTAAGGGCGTCCTGGACTAATTCATCGAGGATCTGTTCATAAACACCTTGTAGTATACTCGGAGGGAGGTAGCAACTGTAGAAATAGACTCCGCCTATTTTCTCTCGCGTATAGTATGATTTCCCTAAGAGCGGCTTCTCTTGGAAGGAGTTTTCCCCGCAAGCCCATATTTCAGCTTTGCTTTCTTTGTCGGAAGTCCAAGTACCAGCACTTATGTTTTTATACTGTCCACAGACGATCGCCAAATCTATCTTCTTTTCGTATATTGTCCGTTTCAGGAGCTCTTGGACCGCTTCGCAATGATTTAGGTTGATTTGCACAACTCTCATTTCGTCTTTTTACATGCCGCACAGGACGGTTTTTTGTCGCATTCCTTTGCGAAGTAGCCCGTTTCACCACATTTTGCGCAACACTTGCTTTTGTCATCCTCGCTGGTACATGCCCTCGCAAGATGCCCATATTCCAGGCATCTGAAACACTTCTTAAGGTTCGGTTTCTCCCTTATTCTGTATATAACCCATCCAATCCTGATTTTACGTGCATGAATTAATTTTCTTGCGTCCGATACCGGAATGCTGATCACCGCCGTCTGCGTACCCGCGTATGCCTGTATCATACTTTTAATTGAGCTTTCCCTAAAAGAGCTTAGCTCATTAATTTGTGTTCGCGGATCTCTACAGATACCTCATGGGTTAAGGCTGTTATCTGTGCCTGGTCACCTAACATCTCACATATCTCCCTTTCATATTGGCTAGATGAGTTAGCTCTCCCCTCTATACATCCGACACTGAACAACCACACGACAACACACCACACTAACGCGATCCACA